TTTGCCCACCTCTATTTCACAGGGTACATTCAACCTTCCTTCTGTGCTGCTCTTTGCTCTGAAGCTTTGGGAGGTTTTCCTGTTCTTCCCCCCAAGTTTTCAGGTTTGTAATAAAGTGCAGTCCTCCCATAAAAATGTCATAATCCTCATGTGATTTAAAGTGCTTCTGGATCTGAGATTGATGACACAAGCAGTAGTTTGCTGTAATATAGTTAAAGGCATCATGGTCTAGTTGCCAGAACTAGGAGTCAAGGAACTTAAGTCTCTCTGCTGGCCCTAGAATGATTCGTGTTGTGACCTTGGACAAATCACCTAATCTCTTTGTGCCTCTGATTTGCTGGTTGTGAAATGGCTGTACTAATGCTCATGTAGCTTCATCAAACACAGTGTGAAACGTGCTGTGTTCAAAATAAATTCGCTTTGTGGGGACAGCTTAAGTCTATAAATTCCATATGAAGTAAAATTTATTTGCTTAGCTGGGTGTGTCTTTACAGGGAGCCTGGAGTCAGTAGAACATACAATTCTGCCTGAGCTTTCTCATCACTCCGGACTCTCTCAGGATCTTGCCCTTTCTCTGCCCCTAGAATTGGACACTTGCTTCTCTTGCACCATATTCCATTTTAATCTACCAAAATCTACTCGGTGTATCTTTCAAATTTATAGTGCCTGTTAAGAAAGCAGGTTTGCCCAGTAGGCCAGTCGCTCCGTTTTAAAGCACGTATTTATTACATAATCAATTTTACTTTGTTCTTCTAATATTCAGCAACGGTTCGTTTTTCCAGGGTTATGAGCCTGTCTTGTGCTCACATCCGGCATGGGAGTTGTACACAGAGATCACCCACGTTTACCTGTGCAAGGTAAAAAGCACAGATGGTAGAAAAGAAATATGACCAGTCGGATTTCACGGGCAAATTCAGCTTTCTTCATTTTTGTCAATTGTTATGGTATTTCACAGTTCCAACAGCTGAGGACTTTCCAGAAAAAAAAAAAAAATTAATATTGTGAATTTCATGAGAATGTGCGAGTTTGACAGCAACAGGTACGGCTAATGGGCACTGCTTCCTCCGTGCCCTAGAATTAATTTACGTGTTAGCTGCCTAAAGGTAAAATATCTCCCTTGAATTTTGCTCTTTGCTAGTGCTGTCCTGGCTGTGGTCTATTTGAAGCTATAAACACATATTCGCGCATATGTCTTTCTATAACATGTGTTTTGGCTCCCTTTGAAATACATAAAATTACTATATAATTTCAATTTTAGAGCAAAAAAATCAGAAAAGATCTGTGCTGCTGCTAGCAACTAGAATATTTTAATGACCCTCCAATTAGACCTGCTTTTTTGTTTATAGGGAAAGGCTGGAAAGGCATAGGAATGAGACTGCATATGGTGTTTGAAGAATCATCTTAAATTCCTCTTGTGGCAAAGGACTTAATCACAGAATTTAACCTAACATTAAAATAATTTTCCTACTGTATTTGAACGTTTTCTTTGTTTTGTTTAGACTGTAGGAGGATTTTTATTACCATTTAACCTTACCTTTTGAGTCCTCTTTTGCCACTTTTTCTTTTTTAGAAGATATATTAAAATGAGCCTATCAGACTGAGAATGGACATGACATTCAGGTTTAAAAACGGAGTGTTTAATGGAATCATGAATAAATGGAAACAGATTTGTCTGTCAAAAATTAAATAGGAGTATTCTTTGATTAATATCAAAATCTAATCTAAAATAGTTTTAGCCATTTCATTCAGGTGACATCTGTGCTTAAACATAATTTCCTCTCCCTGTTCTGGCATGACTGTTAATTACTTACTCAATGTAGTTCAACATTTAGTTAATAAATATGTCAAGCTTTTACCATGGTGTTCTTTTTGCAGAGTTGTGAATTTGCAATTAGTTTTAGATTTACTACATGGTGACAGACAGTGCTGTATAAATAGAGGTTAAACACACAATTTACATATTAATTTCATGATTCATTTATTCAATGATTTATGTGGATATAGATTGTATTTAATCTCTGTGCCGTAGTTGTTTCAGGCATGACGAGTGGAATCACTCCACTGGCGGAGAAGTAATGATGTCTGTGCCGAGCTAGGGACAGCGAAGACGAAAAGAAGAGATTTGGAAACCAGTGATTCATTAACCTCAGTACTTTTTAAGAGGCCAGTGAAAAGCAATAATGGCTTTCTAAAGCAGCAATATATGCATATATATGCACTCGTTCACGTAAGCTCAGGTGTTTAACACTCCATCCTATCCCTGTAATAATGCCTGTTATCATCAGGTAACAGTTTTGTGCGCAATCCTGTTAACTTGGGAAGGCAGCAGATTAGGTGCCCTCTTGTTCCAGGGATCCTCCTGCGTGTATCCTGGGGCTGTCCAATTCTCAATTCTCTTGCAATGAAATGGGTGCTTATTATTGGCTTTATCAAGTCAACATACCTGCTTCCTTGCTCAAAATACTTGTTTAAAAGATATATCTCTCAGTTAGTTAGAAAGCAGCTCGAATATTTTGGTTGATTTAAAAGAGGAAGTGTTCTTCATAAGGTGCTATTTGCACCACTTCCTCTGCTTAAAAAAATTCCTTCTCGGAGAACTCTGTATTTTTATCCATCGTTATTTTTTAATCTTTTGTGCTTTGTTGAAGTGAATACCAAAGTATGTATAGGAGAGGTCAGAACTGCAGAAAATTCCCTGCAGGCTCCCATTTTCTGTTTGCCTATTATGTATGTGCAAGTATATACATTGGCAGAGGAAGTACTTTGTAAATGTAACTCAGTTTATAATTACTTACCCTCACGCATGTGCATTTGATTTGAAAGTAGTGGGTTAAATAGAGCATGTTTTTGGTTTAGTATCATTTTCCTTGCTGCCAGTTGAGTGAGAGCAGGAAGCTCTGCAGTGCAAGCAGAACCTCTGCCCTAATTTAGCAGATTATGGCCTTTAAATAGACTGCCTACACCTCTAGCAGGGTTCAATTAAAATATAGTTCATTTATTTAGCACCTACACGGACCCTACAGGGGTTCTTTGGCTGCAGTCAGATTTGAAGAGCTCTTAACCTGTTGCCCATGAGTGCAGGCTGGGCAAGGGAGGGAGGAAGAGGAGCCCCCAGGCGCGGCCTCCCGGCTGCTGGGAGCCTCCGCGCTCCCTCCCGGCCTCGCTCCGGCTCTGCTCCTGCCCCGCGCACGGACCCGCCGCCGCCGCGGGTCCCGTCTCCCAGGCCTGCCTGGGGTACAGGAGGGCAGGTCCCACCTGCAGCGTGTTCTCAAATCCCTGCAGGCGTTTGCTTAGTACGAATAATAATAAAAAAAAAGTCAAAAACTAATAGACCAGTGTGGCTGAGAACAGGTTAAGAACCTGAAGCAAAGGGCAAAATTGCTCCTTTAATTCATTAAGATAAATAGCATGTTATTAATTGCTTTCTTTTCCAAAAGGCAGACAGAGACTTTTTTCACAGTAAAGCCATATTTACATCCCCAGCCTCATTCTGGCTATGCTCTGACATTGTTTTTAAACTTTCAGCCAAATTCTAGAGCGTGGCTTTGCAATAAATGGTTTTTGCAAGAATATTTTGGAAGGACTGAAAAGAGCTACCAATTGAGTGAAAATAATACGTGAATGATCCTTTTGTTTTGAGATAACCAGGTGAAGGGGTAATAACTCCTGTCAGCCTGAAACCCTTTAGCTTCAAAATTTAGAGCAGGAGGAAGGATCCTGTTTTGTTCCAGGGAGTTGGTGCGAGTTGTCTTTGGTCGCAGAGCAGTGCCATCTAGAGCATGCCCACGGAGGGAGGGCCGGGACGGAAAGCTCCGTACATCCCCTTCCTCAGAACACTGGAGAAAAGGGCATGGAGGAGATCGGAAATGAAATTTTTGATTGAATTTCAGAGAAGCTCCCTGAGGGCAACTTAAACTTTGGGCTTTCTCCAAAGACCATGTATTTTCTCACACGTTTGTTGCATGTACTCTTACATGTGCTTAAATATGCAGGTGTGTTGAAGCAGGCACGTGTTTTATTTCTCTTTGCTTACCACAAAAGGGTTGGAAGCTAGTGCTTACTGAAATAGGCATTTCCACTTTTAAATCTAAATTCCTGAAATATATTAGCAGAGGGGGAGAGCCGGAAGCTCCCTTCTAAACCCCTTGAAAGTGTGATGTGCTGAGTAGCTGACTGCAGGGAGCAGGTGTCAAACAATATTTAAATGGCATTCTCAACAAAATAAATATTGAGCTGCCCTGTCACTTTGGTAGGAGAATAATCTGCTCAAAAAAAATCCCATTCATTGTAAACTGCCTCTGACATTTGTTCTTCAGGAATTATTTGCAGTTTATCTTCTGAGCTGGAGCCTTTTATCAGCACAGCAGTTGAACTGCAGCGCAAAAAAAATGGTAATTGAGTATTTTATCAAACGCTTCCAACAAAACGGACTTTGCAAGTCGTAAATGAAGATTAAAACCATTGTTGGCAGGGATGAACAAATTGGAATGATTTATTATCTGAAACATCAATATGTCACTGCTCAGAAATAAAATAAAAAGAAACAAACAACTGGCCCCCTCCCCTCAAAATGTGCCTGGAGTCTCCGCCAAGCAATGGAAGGTAAATACATGTTTTAATTATTTGTGTTAGAGAGGCTGTTTAAAAAAGAAAACGGAGAGAAAGCATCATCATAATGGCACAGCTGCTGTGGGACATTATGTGAGGAGAAGAGACAGTAATAAAGGAACTGTGTCAAAGGAAAGCAACTCTGAATGTGTGCTTCAGTTCTCCCGATTACAGCAGGAAGATTAAATATTATAAATGGGGCAATTTGGCAAAGTGGATTTACTACTTGGGTTTAACACCTAAAGAGCCAGCATTTTTAAAACGAGCCTTATCCTACTTACGTGAAAGGACTTTTAAAAATAATATGGGAGGAAAATATATCGCAAAAATTTCTTGCTTAGCCATTCAATTATTTATATAGTTGAAGAATAAAAAAAGGGAATGTGTGTTACGAGCAGTATCAGTTTTCATGCGCAAGCAGGGAGGCCATCGGCAGAGCCGGCCAGGAGAGCGGGTCTGGGAGTCGGGTTCCCCCGTGCTCTCGCACTGCGGGCGCTGCAGCGGGTCGCTGCCCGCGTCCCCCTGCGCCCTTGGTGCCGCCGTGACGGAGCGCCCGGCGTCGGCGTCGCCGAGCGCGAGGACAGCCCTGCCCTTTGCGGAAACGGGGCTAGCTGTGGAAGCAGCAGCATTCTCTCGAAACCAAGAGTTGAGGGTTCTGAAATTGTAGGTATATTTTAGTGGTTCCTAACCACGTGCAAGTGATGACTTGGGGCTTCCCAAAGATTTGTAATTTGACCAAATGTAGGTACAAAATTGCTTGCAGAGTCCACCAAGGTTCCCCACTATTTCCTGCTGCATTAGTCCTTTCTACATAGGATAATCTCTGTTTCAGAGTTTCAACAGTGAAGAATATTCTCTTACAGAATATCAGCCTTTCTTTCTCCTAAATTCTCCTTTAGACATGAAAAGAATCCAAACTGTAATACTCCCAATTGGACAGACTTATATAACCAGTCCTTTATATGATTGATCGTAATATGCCACTTCTAATTGTGGAGAAAGCCATTAATGGATTTGTCTATTGGAAAGAAAAAATAATGTTGTAAAATTGCTTTCAAGATCGGTGTTGTTTTCTGTGGATTTTACATGCTGTAAAACTAGAGGAGATGGTATGAGTAGAATCTTAGAAATATTAGCTTAAAACTGTTCTCTCTGTATTTCAGTCAAGCAAGATGAAAGGGCTCTGCCTCAATCCTTCGCTTATGAAAAGATGAGAATTTTAGTATGAAATTATAACCTGGTGGTTTATCAGTTACTGTTGCCGTGTTTGAATCGAAGGAATAATAGAAGTCTCTAAAGTAATGGATGTGGATGTGGAGCCAAACTCAACTTCCTTCACAGCCCTTTTTTTTTTTTTTCTGGTCAATATTATTTCCTACTCTTCCTTGTTCATGACTTTTTTTTTTTTTAATTTAATAGGATGGCTTTTAAGGGGAAAAAAAAAAAAAAAAAAAAAAAAAACAAAGGTGGAGAGCAGCCAGAGGCCCTCCTCTTGGAGCAGGTTTCCTTGTCGCTTGTGTATCGTGTAGGTGAAGGACGAGGCTTGTGCTGGTTCTGCTGCTTCCTTTGGGAGGTCGTTAGGGAGGCATAAAGGAATGTTAGGTGATGTCACCTACCTTGTATGTGAGGAGGAAAGTTGCAGTAAAGTGGCTCTAGGGAGACCCAGTTCCCCTTGTTAAGCGAGTTATCGTTGCAAACTTTGGGAGTCGAGGCAGCCTCCAGGTTTCCCCTCAAAGCGGGCAGCACTTGCTGAGAATTCCAAGATTCCCAAGAACATCTTCGTAAATGCGAACTTCTTTTGCACATCCGACCACTGGACTGTGTGGGGCTCAGCAGCGTATGTTTTTGTACCACTTCAATGAAATACCGACCTACTTCTGGCCAAGAGCTGCTTATGCTGTTCTTTCTCATAGGCGAAGTGACACATATTGCATATTCAGTAAGGTGATGAAAGCAACAGTAAAGCTGCAAAATGTTCCTGATCTTCCCAGGTCTCCTCTTGACAGAAGCATCGGGAATCAGACTGGTTGAGTGTTTCTCTGTTTTTATTTATTTATTTATTAGTAAATATTTAGGATTTAAATGCATGAATGTGCTTCTTAGGACAAGCTCTTACTTCTTGTGGAGAGTAAATTTGCCCTGAAGAACAAAATGCTGAATAACTTCTTTGAAGCGCTGCAGCCTTGCTGCTGAATCATGTTCTTCTCTCCGCAGACCTGAGTTTTTTCAACTAAATACCTGTGTCCTCAAGCCTGGCCCCACAACAGGCCCGTGGAAGCCGCTCTGCTTAGGAGAAATCACGGCTCAGGTTCCTGTCCTGCGGCCAGGGCTGGCTGTGGTTCCCACGAGACACGGACCGGCCATTTCCAGAAAAAATATTTTCTTCTCCCTGCCCACCCCCCGCAGTGTTTTTCTGTAAGGCAGCCGAGAATGAAATACTGTAATCTTAAGTGCTGTGACGTGTGTAAACTAAAAATCTATAGCTCAGTTGTGGATGCGAGGTCTGTAAGTTCTTGGATACTATTTTCTGTTCAAAATGTTGCTTTTTATGTTGAAAATGTTTCACTTAAAGCATTGCTTTTATGTTGCATTCTGTTTCTGTCTAGAGACTTTTCTTTGTAGTGAGAGGCATATTGTTTATGCCAAAGAAATCTGCTCTTTAGTTTATGAAAGAGCCAATTAATAACTTTTCCCAATGAGAACAGCCTTCTGCCGTGCTGTGTCAGTATAACCTTGACTTTTGAACTCTCTGGAGCCTTTAGATGATGATTTGCTCCATTCTGCTCCTTCAAAGGAGAAAAATCTGCTCTATTCCCTGCTTTGCCCCTTTTGAAAGCTCCTGAGGAAACAGAGCCTGTGTGTGGGGCCAAACGTCCCTGCCCTGCAGCACTGCACCCGCCATGGGTCCCCTGGCCGCTTGGGAAGTGTTGAGGGTAGGTGCTGTGTGGTTCATTTCCTTCTGTTCCTGTATGTTGTTGAGGTCATGATAAGAAAATCATTTTATTTCTTTGAAAGAAAAATCAGTCTTTTTGTTTTTGCGTGGCTGCTCGTATCTCCGAGTTACTCGGAGTGGGCGCTGTGGTTACGGCTCTGTTGCCCGTGCGCGTGCAGGAGCCGTTTGGCAGCCTTGCCGTGGAGGTGCGTGTGCTCTGCTGCGCCGCCTCACGCGGCGAGCGCGGCGGCACGGGGGAGAGGAGCGGGCGCCACTGTGCGAGGTGGCGGCGGCGAGGGCAGCAGTCCCGGCCGTGGCACCCCGAGGGGAAGGGGCAGAGGAAGCCCCAGCGGTGAGGGTGGGTGGGAAGTGCCGCTGAGGTGCCCTCCATGTGTTTCTTCATACAATACTGGAGAACCCCTCATATGAAAGGAGGAATTTAGTGGCTCCCGAGAGGAAAGAGCAGGATGGGAAGCGTCGGGGTATTTGGGGGATGCCAGCAGTGAAGAACTGCAGTGACATCTTCCAGCTGAGTGCGCACACTTAATATCATAGAATCATAGGAAGGGACCTCTAGCGATCATCTAGTCCAACCCCCTGCACACGCAGGGTCACCTAGAGCACGTGGCACAGGACTGCGTCCAAGCGGGTTTGGAAGATCTCCAGAGAAGGAGACTCCACAACCTCTCTGGGCAGCCTGTTCCAGTGCTCTGTCACCCTCACTGTTGAGAAATTTTTCCTTAAGTTCCTGTGGAACTTTTGGTGTTTCAGTTTGTGGCCTTTACCTCTAGTTCTGTCGGTGGCCACCAGTGAAAAGAGGCCAGCACCATCCTCCTCACTGCCTCCCTTGAGGTACTTCTAGACACTGCTCAGGTCCCCTCTCAGCCTTCTCTTCTCCAGGCTGAACAGGCCCAGCTCCCTCAGCCTCTCCTCATAGGGCAGATGTTCCAGGCCCCTGATCATCCTTGTGGCCCTGCGCTGGACTCTCTCCAGCAGCTCCACATGCCTCTTGTACTGGGAACACAGCTCTTCAGATGCGGCCTCACCAGGGCTGAGTAGAGGGGCAGGATCCCCTCCCTCGACCTGCTGGAGATGCTCTTCTTAAACTAGGCAAGTCTCTGGTGTAAGCTGGGCCTGGGAGGACTGCCTGTCAAAAATGGATTTTTCACGTTAGCTTGAGGTGATAGGAGTGATATTTTAGCAGCAACAAACTCCTTTTTAGTAAATACTGGTCACAAACTTAATTCATTGGTGGGCCGTGTGCAGTGCTAACCTGCAGCCTGATAAGAGCCTCTGAGGGGCTGCTGCTTCCTCTGCACAAACCCCTGGCATGAGGTAGTCCCTCCCGGGCTACCCCGCGCGCAGCTGCCCGCTTGGTTGGCCGTCCCTTTCCTGGGCGTGAACAGACAAATAATGTCACACACCCCTATAAAACACCCTTCCAGTTGTCTCTTCCCAGAAGATCCTGTGTTCTCAGAGACAACTCTCTCCAACCGCCAGGGCAAGGCATGCCATTATGTATTTCATTCACTCATCCCATGCTCTTTTGCTTTGCAAGGCTCTTATTTGTAAACCTTGGTGCTAATAATCACCCATTCCCCAATAAAAAGAGAAAAAAACGTTTGCATTGATTCAGAGCTTTGTTTTTGGAAGGTATTTTTATGAATGGATTTGGAAACCTGTTTGTTTAGAGTATTTTTAGAAATAGAATTTTGATTTCAGTTGAAAATATTCAGCCAATTCTAATGGCTCTCGCCATCTAATAATGGAGTGAAGGTGATGCACATCGCCTAGGTGACCGACAGGTTTTACTGTTATTCAATTGCAACCGTTGAATATTCAGAAACTTTTGAATGGTCTGTAAAATACCAATTATGGGAAATACTTGTCAAATTTCAGGTAAGTATTTTGGGGAAAGAATAAGGCTTAAATCAGTAGGTGAATTATGTTCATAATTACAAATTTTAAGTGGTGTTCTCCATCCCTGGTTGGGCCTAGAGCTCATAAGAAATAACGTATCTTTTAGCACTGCTAGTACTCCATTAGTCCATTACTCCATTAGTCTCTAAACACTAGGAAGGACTTGACAATTAAGGAACTCAGTTTTCGCCAAATCCCTTCTTTAATTTTATATCTTGTAACAGTTCTACACAATAAATAGGTCATAGCACAGCCTTAGTGCTGTTGGACAGGTTTGCCTGCAATGATTAATCCTCTTCCTTGTCACCTTTTTTTCTATTCATAAGTCAGTTTAACATAGTTCATATGTTGGTACAGGATTAATTATTATCCTAGAAAAGTTAAAAAGGACAACATGCAACTCCTCATGCCACTGATAAGTTAAAATATTTAGGAGGAAAATCCTTGAAGTCCGAGGCATCCTGTGAATGGTATTAAAATGTGTTGTTCTGGTTGAAGATAAGACAGTCTTTGATATGTTTAGTCATAGAGTCAACATCTTGCATTGAACTGTAATATAACTAATATTACTAATCTAACTAGTGTATCTAATAAAAAATAGTTTATGTACTTGTTTCTTTAATCAGCAGTTTTTTCCTCAGCCCCTGATGTACCAGTGACCTTGAATTTTGAGTAACTAAATAAGAGCCCATAAAATTTTATTATCTCCTCTGCTACCCAAGCTAAAATAAAGAACAAGACAAAAGAAATATTCTGCAGATGCTGTGGCTACATAGAGTAAGATTGTTACTTATGATTTTTTTAAGTAAGTTTGGTTATTGCCTACTGTCCAACTTAAATCATAAAATGTGCAATAATCGTAACACATATGACCTGGTTTAACCAGCATTGGTTTTCCTTTGAGCATTCTAAATTATTCTGGTAAATAAGTTTGGTTTCAAAGGTGACATCAAGAAATGTTTTTTGGCTATTCATGGAAGAAGAATGTTCAAGAATTCCACAGTTACAGGGATTTTCCCCCCTGGCAGAAAAAGCCTAATTCCTCTTTGACCATAGGATGTAGGGGGGAGGGCTGAGGCTGCCTGCAAAAGTACTAGGTTAGCACTGGTTCTGTTTGTGTGAATTTTGTGGCAGGTGGACAGAATCTGTCAAATTTGGTCCCCTTGTGCATCTCAGTCTGCTGATCTCCATGGCAGACTGCTAAGTCAGTCTAATACTAATTATTTGTCAGAAAAAGGCAATTTTGAAGAAGGTCTCCCCAGGCTATCTTGGACGATATCCTTCTGTAAAGCCATGTCCATGTTTATCTTTTTCTGGATTTCAGAGTTGTCTGATCTGCTGGAGGCAAAATTTATGATTATGTTGTTGGGCAGAAGGTGTCCAAAGCTCTTTACCTTCATCTGCCAACCGGCCTTCAGACATGAGTGACCAGTTCACTAAGCAGACCTGATACCGAGCTAGCTAGTGCAAGCTGAAGAAGTTCTTGTACCCCCCAATGAAGTCTCTTCTTTTCTGAGATCATGATTTTTTTTTAACCAACCTATTTCCAGTTGCAGCCCTAATCTAGTGGACATGGTGAAAAAGAGTTAATACTGTTGTGATGCTTCATTTTAGTAACCAGTAAGTAGGGAAGAAAGCCTGCTGTGTGCCCCCTTGCAGTTCCTTGTGCGGATGCAGTTGCGTTGTTCAGCAAGGGCTGGAGGAGTTGAGATGTGTGCTCAGAAGAGGTGCTTGATAATGTTGTGTTTATTTAGAAACTTAAAACATAAGATTAGCTTGGACAGTATCAGCTATGCAGACTGTTAAATAAGACTAGACAGATTAGCTGCAATCTCTGTAATATGTATTTTTTTTAAATGACTTAAGAGGAAAGATGAGTTGCTAAAATTTCTGCTGCGTTCTGTACTTCTGCCTTATACTCAAAAATATGCAAAAATGTGCAAAATGAAGAGCTAATGGCACATGCTCCCATAAATCAGGCAATCATCAGATCTTATCTGCTGTGTTAGTGCTGAACAGTTAACTCTTGAGTTAAAGGAGAGCTAACTGCTTATGTTGG